TGTGTGTGTGTGTGTGTGTGTGTGTGTGTGATTATGTGTTTTTGAGAGGATTTGGCTCCGCGGCAGGCCTAAGGGGCCCCTTATACAAGTGCGCCCGCCCTAAGTGAAGGCGGGCCTAACAAATCACGAGAGGCCCAATGCTGTCAATTTCATATTTGGGGTTCAGGCAGTTGTGTTGTGTCAGTTGGTTGAGGGAACCCAGGTCACAAGCAGCAAATACTTTCCACGGCCTTCTAGGCCACATCTGCAGCAATATACACAGACAGTTGGGAGGCCTCACTGTAGAACGAGGCCCAGCAGCAGCAGCAGAGGCCAAGCTACCTGGGGCCTACCGAAAGCCTCTGGGCGCAGGCCCAGCCCAGCCAGGCCGCAGGCCAGGCCAAACTCTTTCCATGTAGGAAAGAGTTTGCTGCCTGGTGGGGGATTCGGGCACTTGCTAGTTTGCGGCAGCACTGCTGGAGCGGACACTCGCGGGCTGCTGCTGGCGCTAAGGCAAGGTGCACGCATGTGCGGTTGTGTGGGAGGAAAGGCGCTGCTGAGGGCAGCGCCATAGCCCAGCTTCCATAGTTGGCTGGGGCTCGGACGTACAGCAAGTGGTAGTGGTTGGGGCTTGGGCATATACCTTGTATTGGCGATAGTCTGCATTGGGCGCCATCTTCATGTACTACGGTGGCTGTTGACGTCAGCAGTTGTATTGTCAATTCGTAGGCAGACAGTAGCTGTGTGGGGGTAGTCTGGGCGTCGAGTGCCAAGTAGGGGGGAATGGCCTCAACTCTTATGTTGGTGATGATGAGAGTAAGCTCTCATTGACCTTCGATTTGAGTATTTCGATTCTCCATTGGTGTATTATTGGCGCAACGCTGCTTTCTGGACACTGTGGAACTTTCTGGCTTTCAATGTGATTGTGCAATCAGGATTCTGTCATCTCGTTGTTGCTCATTTTCCTTGCATTTGTGTGCACTGTGCAGCAAATGCAGTTCCTACATCAGCTGCATCAGCTACTACTGTAGCAGCTGTTGTATGTGCTGCATCAACTGCTTCAACAGGTGTGTGTGTCCGTGTGCGTGGGTGTGGGTGTGTGTTTTGTATGCATGTGTAGATCTTCAGGAGTGATGGGCAATGCCCCCACGGGGTCACCGAGCCCGAGCGCGATGCTATGCAGGACACGCATACACCTACCTGCCTCATACGTTTATAATATTTTTGGATGACAGACTACTTTGCAGATGGTTCTCAATCAGGCGTATTGCTTGAAGTGTTGCATGTCTGTCCCTCTAGGAAGTGGTTTGGGGTACTCCTCGCCCGAGCATAAAACTCGGATCTCACCGTCTCCACCGAATCGGCATAGGACCCCCCAGTAGAACAACCCACTCTGGGTCGATAACAGGGTCGACTCCTAAAGCAACAAACCCCCGCCCCAGATACTTCTTAGAGAGCGAACATATCCACATAAAGATCTCAATTATTTTCATTTCTCCTAAGTTTAAGGTAACTCGGACGAAAAGAGTTAAGAGGTCACAGAGAATGAGAATCATTTGGAAAAGTATAGGTAGATAAGGTCATTCGGGATAGTACGGGTAAACCTCGGAAAAAATGCTTAATCAGTTTAACTTCGTCCTCCTTATTTGAAATTATTTTTATGACACACACTGGATTAACCATTTTCAAAATTACAAAGATTTTTTTACAAACAGTAAGTAGAAGGAAGCCGATCCTTTTCATCTGCCCCAAATAGGCATAATCAATCTCCTTTGCAAACATCCTTCTACCTACCTGCACAAATTGAGGAAAACATGTTAAATTGAAAACAGTACAATCCGATACCCACATACCTTTCCATTCACAGACATGACTCGCACAACTTTCCTCTACCTTTTTTTTCGAACATGCAAAACAACAGGGTGAAGCAAAGTGTGGGTTCACACAGGTGTGAAGAGAAATCTGAGTCAATCAACTGACCTTAAGTGAAGTTTGATTTGGCTCACTTAAGAAAACCGAGTAATATTATAATCGAATGGAAGATTAATCACTATTGAAGCTGAAATATGTGGCTCAAAACTCCACGAGTTGTGTCATTTCTCAAGGTCCATGTCCTCCCCCAAGTGTCCAAATAGGCAACAGTTGAGCCCTCAAAAGGACTCAGTTGAGATAACCCTCTACGAGAGTGCGCCCCCAAACAAACCCTTGTGATCTAACGTCCCGAACAACCCCAACTGCACTACAACTTGAAGGGTTTGTCCAAACCTCCTTCAATTAACTTTAGTCCAAACCTCCTTCAATTGCCACGTCCGCATAAGATAGCCTCAACAACCAGCAGCATCACAACTTCAAGTTGGTCCCAATGGTCCCAGGTGGTCCGAACCATCACCCGCAACACCAGATGGTCCATAACTCAAAACCGCTTGCACCACGCCCCTCCGAAAAAATAAAGGTGGCATCCCCGGTTGAAAACCGTATGTTCCGTGAGCCCCAACGATCATCGTGTGCACTCCCTCCATGTTGTGATGTCGGTCCACACTCCAATACAGCACAGTCCCAAATGTGCAGCAGTGCCACAAACAACACAACGGCGGACCGCCACCCGTCGCGCCATCAACCGGTATTATGGCTGCCCCACATCACCACCGCCAGATCACACACAAAAAAAAAACGGCGCTACTGCAACGCAAAAGATTCGCATCATTTTCCTTCACAATAGTGCCTCGGACATGCCACCAACCGGACAGCATAACCCCAACAAACATAACGTTGTTGTTGTCGAGCAGCACCTCCTCCTGGACATTAGTGTCGAGGCCACACCATAATTTTTTGACATCATAACCGCTCCACTTAATACGTCATCGTTGCCACACCGTCGAATGGGCAGCACTTCCCCTTAGGGAGTCCTTGATGTTGCCGCGCTGCCAGTCCGACAACATTTCCCCCCTTAAAAAAATGTTGATTCCGCCGCCAAAATTTTTGCAGCATGGTGCCACCGAACGCACCGTTGTTGTCGTGCCACTGATTGAGCAGCACCCTCCCACACTCACATGAAAGAAGACTTCGGCGCCTTGCGGCAAATCTGACAACATCTTCCTTGAAAACGATATGGTTGTTGTGCCGACAATCCGGCAGCACAACCCCTCTAATACGGTGCCGCTCGCCGCACTGTCCGGACCCGGACGCAGCCTACCAACCGGAGCACCAGCGCCCTGTCGGGGAAGTGAGCTCCCAGCCTCTGGCTATGGCTGAGCTTCCTCACTCTTCTACTTCGTCGGCAGCACCGCCCCTCACAATGTGATGGAGCTAATTTGCACTTTGAAATGCAAGTGAGCAGGCTCACAACCTCAACAACTGTGAGGCAAGTGTGGGTGTTGCTAGCTTTTAAAGGCAGCAGAAGGCTGTGGGCAGCAACTTGGCCCACCGTCATTTGGACCCTTGATTTGTGGCCACGATCAAGGGCCACAAACCTTGATGTTCCCCTAGGGGAACCAAGGTCATTCAAACCCTGAAGCATCTGGCCTTCCCTTCAGGCCACATGCTTCTGGGAATGGTTGTACCCAACCATTACTGCAGCCTGTTCAAAAAATGAATAGGCACAGTTATTCCCACATTCACACATACATACACGCACCTACCCATTACCACGGTCACATACATGGCCGTTTCCTGTTTTTATTTCCCTCCCCTTTCTTTTTCTTATTTTTTTTTCTTTTTCTAACCCCTTTACTTTTCTGTGAGGGGCAACTCGTGCGAGGATTTAGATTCTCGACAGTGTCTGAAAGATGTTGTACCCGCCCTAAGTGAAGGCGGGCCTGCAAATATGTGTCAATGCTTGTTTATAGGGCTATGAGACCAGGCTGAGGGGCCCAAGCAGAGCTTGTTGTAAGCCCCATGTGGGAAAGGATCTTCGACGAGGCCTTGTTACGAGTTGGCTCCTTGGCATGCCATGTAGGGCCCTATCAGCAAGCATGAACCCGCCCTAAGTGAAGGCGGGCCCCCTGAATTTCAATATGGACGGAGTTCGTCAAATTTGGCCAAGGT